GGCAACTCTTACTGGTTTCCTGCAAACCGAAATCAAATCTGTAGTGGCTAAGACTTTGAACTTTAGAGCAAAAGAAAATTAGCGAAATATCAGAATTTGTTCTTTACTCTGAAATCTTTGGTGACAATAGAAACATAGCCATTTTGTGGTGTTATATTATCGAAATATAGGATTGGAGATGAAGAGGCTAGAGCTCCGAGGGCAACATGTGAATATTTCAGTCGGAACCACGAAGCAAGCACTGAAATGACAGTCAGAATATTTAAAACAAGAATTTCAAACGAAATTAACAATAGAAGGTCAGAAACAAGAATTTTTTTTGAAAACATACGTGCAATGAATCAACTTACTTCCACCATATGATGCTCCAACGACAATCACAGGAGAGTGTTTAGCATGGAATTTGTCCTTTGTGTGGATGATAATCTCTGCATAGTCTGCTAAAGCTTGAGCAGAGTTGAAATACCCGAGCGTGCTAGAATTTCTGAAAGCTTCTTCCCTTGATCCAAATGGGATTGATTCCCCATAGTATCGGTGCTGAGAAGAATCAAATCAAGGAAAGCTGTTCAGGATTACTATGCAGAATTCTGAAAGCAGAATTTTTCTAAATGCAAGAACCAGAATCCTTGTCTTTGAATTTCCAAGGAACTCCATTTCTCGGCATGGATATGCCGCTGAATGAAACGTAACGGTGGCTGTAGTCTCAGGGCATGGAAGATGAACTGATAATACCACCACCTGACCATGAAAACAAAGAAGGAATGAATATGTAAAACATTCCTATACTCATTCGTACCTCTATGTAAACTTGAAGAGCCTTAAAACGAGGAGCATTTTCTGTAAGGGTTCCAATACCACCTAAGTCATAATCTAATGGTGCTTCTTCCCCAAAGTAAACAAATATTGGTGAATTAGAATTAGCTCCCCCCAATAGTTTGAATTGATGACATATCTTTGTCGAAACATGCCAAAGCTATCAGGCCTATAATTGAAGTGATCAAGTGTTTGATTGTAATAAAATGTTTGCAAGTTCCCATCAGAATTTGATGCAGCAAAACTTGCAGAATTTCTTGAAATTCTTCCCATTGATCTCACTCTTGGACTCGTAATTCCTCCAAGTCGTGGATCCAACTTTGGAACGCCGAACCCTCTTGCGGTAAGAGAAGTTGATGAGTACATAACTGGAATGAGCATTAGTATTGGAAGCCATTGAATTGCAACCATTGGAGACTTCATGGCAGTATATCTAGCAGAAACCTTCTGATGTTTCGATATTGTTTGAAATTTGTGATTATGTTCAAAGATTTAAACAGGCTGCAAGCCCTTTTGTACCATAAGAAAGTTCAATCTGGAAATCTATAGCTGGCCGAGTAACTTTCCTTATAAGAACTTAAGAACAAAAATTTCCTCCTTTTTTTATTCTTTACCATTTTAATCTATATAAAGTTTTCTATTTTTGGATATATAGAATAGATTGATTGATAAGTTCAAATAAAACCTTGACTATATGACATTTTGAGAAAAATATGATCAAAAACTGGGTATTTTAAGCTACAACTCATAAAAAACTTGTTACTATATCCTGCAAATGGGATTGAACATCAGGCCATATAGGATAATTGCTGCATGTTCTCAAGTTGTTGCGTACCTCTAAGCATGCATTATTGAAGACCATGAATAGAATAATTACTATATCCAGATTCCTGCCTTGCTACAAGGCTTCCAAGAAAACAAATTAATTGCTTAGTTGTCAAATCTTGAAGAAAAGAAGATTGGACAATCACACAAGCAAGATGCCCTAGCTAGGTCTGAACTAATGGACGCTATATGAGTATGACATGCTACCGTTCTTGTGCAACTATTAACTTGAAAGCAACTTGGCAGCTAGAATACTACAGCTCGTTTATATCGAACTCTGTCCAGATTTTTGGTAAGAGATGAGACCCATTAGGGCTCCATGTTAAGCAGTGAGTGTGCAAATGGGGAGGGAAAAAAATTAGGTTAAATGTCATACTCATATACTGTGTCCATTAGTTCACACCTTGCTTAGGAACTTATTCTATAGTATTTGCCTCTTTCTTATTCTTAAGCAAGTCCCCCAGAGGGTTTAATTGATCCATGATTTATGTTTCATCTTTCGTTTTCTTTTCGTTTGTTTTGAAAAATATAGCAATCAATTCTGATTCTTTCTTGTTCTATGTGTGATAGTCAATTTTTCTTTTCTTCAAGACTTGACAAGTTCTAAGAAACTAATAGAAAAGGCCAAAAAGCATTTAGTTTGTTAATTTTCAAGCAAGCCTTGTAGCTAGGCAGGAATCATGATATAGTAACTATCCCATTCATGGTCTCCAATAATTGCATGTATAGAGGTATGCAACAACTTGAGAAGATGCAGTAACTACTCTATATGGCCTGATGTTCACTCACATTGCAAGATATAGTAACAAAGATCGATGTTGTGATATATTTCTATTGTTCGGATCATGGGGGTGTCAATTGGTGCATTTATAGGCAAGTTATTAGGGGAGCCATACGTACTTTCCAAATAGAACTATCTTATGGTAGTAAAAAAGGGCTTGCTGCTTGTTAGAATCTTTGAACATAATCACAATTTTCAAACAATTAAAGTTGAAACATCAGAAATTTTCTGCTAGACATGTTGCCACGAAGTCTCCAATTGTTACACTTCAATGGCTTCCAATGCTAATTAATGCTCATTAAATGTTAAGCAGTAGACAGCTCAATCCTATGTTTTAGACTTTCAGTCCTTGCAAATGGGCCTTGGAGTAAACAATTTTCTTGTCTTGAACTATTGCCGTTTGATTCCTTCATTCCCAGGAAAATATGAAGCACCGCACAATTTAAGCTTGTAATTATAGAAATTATGAGATTCATTCATGACTTGTAGTATTGCAACAATACATGGTATATAAGTAAGTCTAAATTCAGTGTTTCTGCTATACACATTATATTCTAAGAACTGCTCGATTAGGCGTTGAGGTCTGGACTAGTTTTTCGGCTACGTTTGTATGCAAGTAAATCTTTATAGTATTTGCTAATCCATTCCCTAATGATCTCGACCTCTTTCTTTCTCTGTGCTACCAGCCACTTCGGATCGTCTTCTTTTGTTAGAAGTATATCCAAGCAATGAGACCCTGCATAATAAACATAAGTGAGTGAGTTTTCTCCTCGTTTCGACGATAATCATGTTCGATCAGAACATACCTTTCACAGTTTTGATAGCAACAACACTGTCTGATATATTCTCCAACACCCTACAATTAGAGACAACATCCTGTTCAACATTGTTATGAATAACATAAGTGCTGAATATTAGCAGGAGATTTCAGATATGCTGTTATTAATTACCCGCCGCTACTGTAAGGATCTCTCAGTCCATTAGAGAAAATGATGTTGCTACCAAATCGATGGAGGGTCAGTTTTATATCCTGCAGTTTTCCAGTGAATCAACAGAAAATTTTTACAGTCAAATGCAGTACTTCGGATGCAAGAAAGGATAAAAAGGGGAGGAAGAAAACTGCTCGACACGACATACATGGCCTCCGAAATAACTAGTAACCCAATGTGGTCGAGGAGGAACGCCATACTTCCTCTTGCAATCGTTAATATAACCTCTCGAATCAAATGGATCTGGTTGAAACATGGAGTCATTGTCGCTGGCGATAGGCATCACCATATCACTGCAAGACTAACCACAGCAAAACCAAAGTTAAATTTTTGAGCCAGCTTTAGTTGAACTGCGAATCCAATGCCATGATCAATTACCTGCCAACTCCACCCCACATCGGTTTCGGTTTCTTTGGTTGGTTCATTAACATAACATGGATTTGTTCCTCTATAACCGACCATGCCGGCAAATATTCGACCGAGAATGTCATTTCCTAAGGAAGGTCCATCAATCCCTCCACAGACCATGGTAAGTGGATATAGCGGAGGTGAATTATATTGAGCAGCTTCCATATATAAGCTGGCCAAGTAGTCTTTGAGCTCAGAAGAACTTTTCAAGGGCCTAAAAGATGAAATCCGAGGGAGTAAATATCATAAATTTTCAATTCCGAGAATCAAAACCTGATGGAAAAAGTTAATGTTATGGGTTTACTTGCAAGTCTTGAATTTCTTGCTCAGAAATGAAAGACCATCAGGTCTAGAAGCAATTCTGTCAATTATAGTCCAGGACTTTTTTATGGTATCATGGCAACTCTTGCTAGCTTCCTGTAAATCCAAATCAAAACTGTATCAATTAGCTTATTAAACATTGAACTTTGAAGGAGAAATTTTTTTTTAAAACAAAATATAAGAATTCGATCTTTAATAATTACTCTAAAATCTTTGGTGACAACAGAAACATATCCGTTCGATGGTGTTATATCGTCAAAGTATAGGATTGGAGCTGATGAGGCCAGAGCTCCAAGGGCAACATGTGGATATTTCAGCCGAAACCACGAAGCAAGCACTATAAAAACAAGTTAGAATCAGAACCAGAATTTTAAAACAAATTAGTAACAGTAGAACAGTATCAGAAGCAAAGAAGTTTCAGAAAAAATTGCAATGGAATTACTTACTTCCGCCATATGATCCACCAATGACAATCACAGGAGAGTCTTTAGATTGAAATTTCTCTTTGACGTAGATGAGAATTTCTGCATAATCTGCAAGAGCTTGAGCCGAGTTGAAATATCCGAGAGTGCTTGCATTTTTTAAGGCTTCTGTTCTTGATCCAAATGGGATTGATTTCCCATAGTATCGATGCTGACAATAATAAAATCAAAGAAATGTTAAGAGAGCTATTCAGTATTGCAATCCATATATAATTCCAAAAGCAAAATTTTTCTAAATGGAAAACCAGAATCCATAGTTATTTTTGTCAGCAATTTGATTGGAGTAATAACTTGTATCAGAACTTTAATCTAATGAGGTTGGCCTGGAATTCCATAATCCTGACATGGATAGCTATCTTTGATCAAACCGAAAAGGCAGATTTAATCTCGATACACGAAAGCTAACCCATTAATACAAAGTAGCCCTAAAATCAAAAACAGGAATGCTTCTCTTATATGTAAAATCTTATTCCGCATTAATGCTACCTCTATGTAAACTTGAAGAGCCCTAAAACTAGGGGCATTCTCTTTTAGGGTTCCAATACCAGCTAAGTCACCATCCAATGGAGCTTCTGCCCCAAAGTAAACAAAGATTGGTGCATTGGAATTAGGGCCACCCCAGTACTGTGAATTGATGACATATCTTTGCTGAAACACGCCAAAGCTTTCAGGCCTGTAATTGAAGTGATCAAGTGTTTGATTGTAATAAAATGTTTGCAAGTTCTGATCATTAATATTTGATTCAGCCAAACTTGCAGAAAATTCCCTCGAAACTCTCACTCTTGGATTGTTCATTCCTCCGAGTGGATCCAACCTTGGAATGTTAAACCGTGCAGTCACACAAGTTGAGTACATAATTGAAATGATCAATATTGGAAGCCATTGAAGTGCAGGAGACTTCATGGCAATATATATCTCTACCAAAACACAATATTGTGATGTTTCAGGGAATTAACAAAGAGACTAAAGTGAGTTAGCGACGAGCATTAAACTCGTCGCGAAAGCCTTCGTGGTTAACAATTTTTGAATTTGCAAAGATGCTAAAAGATTCAAACAAAAGAGCAAGTCCTTATATACCATGAGATTTTTAGCTTAATTTGGAAATTAATACCTGTCTAACTTGACATTAACAACATCAATTGACCATAAAACGTATAATAATAGAGAATATGACAGAATTAACCAGCAATTAAGCATAGCTGGAAGAATTCAGTTCGAGAGTTTCTTACTATTCTTGAACCCCTTAATCCATATAAAAAAAAATCCTCAAATCCTCGTGACTTTTATGACATTATGTTTCTGTCCAATCAGATTTTAAATAGGTCATTTATACTTTGATAAGAATTTTATATATATATATATAATTATGAGGATTCTGTTAAAGGATTATTTCAATCTAAAAACTTAAACTATTAAATTCGTAGCTAAATCTAAGCTAAAGTTTGTCAAAAAAATAAATTTAGTGACGATTTTAAAAAAATCATCACTAAATTGATGACCTTTTTCTCATTTTTAGTGATGTTTTTTTTTTTTTTTTTTTTTTTAAGCAATGGATAAACCATCTCTATATTCACGACGAAATTCTAAAGACCGTCGTTAATTAATTAGTGAGAAAGTTTTTAACATTGGTTTTGAACCATCGTTAATTATAATTAGCTATGGTTGTTAAATTTTTTATTTTTTGGAGTGGTTGCGTAAAATCCTAAATTATGATTTATATTACTTTGTAACATACCACTACTTTTTACATTATGCCTAATGTTTAATTTAATTAGAAAAATGAGATGGTGAGATTCGAACTCGTGACTTTTTTGTTATTAAAACTCGATATTATGTCAAAAAACGATTTCAACCTAAAATTTAAGCTATTCGGTGAGTCACATCATATAATATATATTTCTGTCGAATATATTCAATATTATTCAAGGCTGCAAGATTTAATTTGGAGATTTCATTGCACTTAATGCAATATACAGTACTGCAAAATGAAAATTCATTGGTCCAAACGTTTTTGTAGAGACTTGCATGTTCCTTTCCATTGCTGCAACAACTGGGAAAATAGATTTTGTGGAGCAAAACTCAAGCCTTGAAACCCTGTTTCTGCTGCTGTAAATACTGAGATATATATATATACAGTGAGATATCGGTTCTTTGAAACTTGGCCATGAACTTTGCTTCCCTATGGACAATTTTCTGGCCTTACTCCATTCCACGCTACTCCTCTGGTAAGGAGTAGGACACATTAAGGTGACAGTTTACCATTCTTGTTTGCAGCTATTAGCATGAAAGCAATAAGGCAGCTAAACTTCACCGAAATTTCTCTTTCCTCCACATTATTAATAATTGCCAAAAAGATTGTTACAAAAAATAGATGTTTGTTGATGAGATCCATGTGAGTTTTATAGACTAAATTATAAATTAATCCCTCTAGTTTCAAGAAATAGATTAATTAGTCCTTTTTATTTGAAATATATTTAGTCATTTGACAAACAATTAAAATTTTCTTTTGGTGAGCTTTGAAGTAGAGGGAGAATGTAGTTTCTAACTCCATACAAAATTTTGCTTTTAAGTAACCATAAGGCGGTAGCTCGCGTTGGTAAGCAAGCATCTACTTGTATGCTAGATCCGGAGTTCAATTCTTACGGCCAGCCAGCATTATGAGAATATATTCTCAAAAAATACACAGAGCCGTGTATTGGGAAGTACTCTTTAGATTTGTCCAAAAAGAGATTAGTTTCGAGATACGTAAAAATTGATTTAAAGATACTTTTACTATTAAACTTAACAAAGAAAATGTTTGTTTTTAAATTAAAAGAGATGGAGTAAAAAAACTATTTTCTTTTCTTTAAAACCTCAATTTAGAAATAGATGAAATGTTTATTATTTTAATGAAGAAATGCTTAATCTTGGTGTTCAAAAAGTATTTCAATAGTATTTTAACCATTAAAATAAAAAGAAAATTTTTTTGATAGAAATTTGGAATTGAAATTTGAAATAAAAAACATGAACCTAAGCATTATCAAATGAATATCCACATGCTTCACCCTATAATAATTAGTACTTAATAAATCAAATAAGGACACAACAAATAATATTTGTAGTTGGTGAATCCGACATGTCACCCAACAGCACCGACGCCGTTCTCCACCACCGACACGTCATAAAGATCCAAATCCAGTGCGACGTCCTTACCTCGGGCCCATTAAAGCTGGAATGCTGGATCGACTGGTAGATCCCCTCCACGTGGCAAAACCACGACATCATAAGCAATGGCCACCTTACCAAATTCACTGTAGTAAAAAGTTTAACTACATTTTAGTCCCTTAAGGTTAGAAATATTTAACTAAGCATCTATAATCTTCCTATATCAATCCTAAGTTTAGAAGTTTTTATTATTTTAATAAAATATTGATATATTTTATACTTACTAAATTTTTAAGGGAGCCAATACTGATTTTTCAAGAGCGTTGACACACTACATATATATATATATATATATATATATTTCTTAGTTATTTATTGTGTGGGAGTCATGTTGGAATTTTTTGAAAACTCCACAAAATCTATTAGTCAAGCTTGATTTATAATAATCATTTTCTTATACAAAAAAAAATTTGTGCATAAAAATCTCTTTTTAACAAAATTGAATTTTGACTGAAAAAGTCAATACATGAAGTTATTTAGTTGTATATAAGTTATCATGATATATTCAATTTTTTTATTAAATTAATTATTTTTATAAAACTATAAAATGATGCACAAATTAAATTAAAATTTTCTAGATTTTTAAGACTCAAATGTCGACCTAGGATTTGATCTGGAAATTAATATTTACAAAATTGATTGAAATGAAGCTTAAGTGGAGCATTTCTCAATATACAGGGACCAAATGGATTTTACCAAAAATAAAATATAAAAGCCCAGTCCAGATCCAACAGTCCCAAAAGCATCGTTTCTTTCAAAACAAAAAACTTGTTGACCCTCCACTTACAATATAACATCAACACCTCCCCTCTCTCCCTCTCTCTCCCACAAATTTCTACGCCAGACAAACACAAATCGTTCCTCCAGATCTGACTCCTTCTCCCCTCCATGGCGGCTCGCTGGAGATCAAGATCTCGTTCTCTACTGTTACCGATCTGTACAATTGTTGCGATCCTAATCCATGGCGCTCACTCCTTCTACCTCCCTGGCGTCGCTCCTCAGGATTTCACTAACGTTAGCTCCTTCTCTACCTCTCTCTCTCTCTCTCTCTCTGTCTCACTGCACGATCTACAAATTTTCATTCAGATCTCATTTTGCGGTTGCTTTGTTTGATTTATAGAGATCTTATTGATTTATGAGAGGAAAATGTGAGATTTGTTAGGTTTTTGTGTAGTTTAGTGTGACGTTTAATTTCAAATGAAGTTAGTTACTCATTAGATTTTGATTATTTTCAGTTATATTTGTAGAGTTCAGATCGGTTTATCTGATTTTGTGTGCTAGGAGAATGCGAGATTGTTAGGTTTTGTTTAGTTAGTGAAAATGATTGATTTAATAGGAGGAGGATTTTTTTAGCTTTATGAAGGTGGTTTAGGGATTGATTGAGCTGTTATTTATGCTAATCTAGATCAACATTGTCAGTTACGTGGAGAATATAACGTTTGGTTCGGTCATTTGATTTATAACTAAGGGGATGGATGATAAGATTGGTTTAGCAGAAGCTTTTTTAGTTTTTTGTACGAGTTTAGGTTTATGCTAATGTTGATCTAATTATGCTTTTTGCTAGCCTATGGGTTAAGTTGTGTTAGATTTGCTATTGCATTATGGTATATTGTAGTCATTGTGTCTTTTCACGTTCGTGTTTCTTTTCCGGTTATATCCAAGAGTTGATTAGTTCGTGTAAGTTGAAATGGAGTGTTAATATGCAGCAAAGGCTTAATATAAAGAAAATATTTACTATGCCAGTGTTTTTAGTGTCAGAATCTATTTCTGACTTTTGTGTTTGGGCTTGGGATGTATATTTTGGGAGCTTTAGCAATACTGTGTTTCAATATTATGAATTTCGTAGTTCTCGTTGGTTGTGATTGTTTGAGGTAAAGATAGGGACTCATCTTGTTGAAGTGAGAATCAGTAAAAAAAAGGTGGAGATTTTACCGTGTAGTGTTTCTATTTGTTTATTTGTCTGCTTTTCCTCTGGTTGCAGGGTGCTGAGTTGATGGTGAAAGTGAATAAATTGACCTCAATAAAGACACAACTTCCTTACTCGTACTATACTCTTCCTTTCTGTAGCCCATCCAAGATTGTAGACAGTGCAGAGAATCTTGGGGAAGTACTTCGTGGCGACCGCATTGAAAATTCTCCCTATGTGGTCAGTGTCATTATGCTGGATTAGTGCGGACTAACTTTTCACATGCACTATTTTTCCTGACCTTTTGAGTTGGAATTATTGCAGTTTAGAATGGGGGATGCAAAGATGTGCAGCATTCTTTGCCGACAAACACTTGATGCCAAAACCGCAAAGGCATTTAAAGAGAAGATTGATGATGAGTATCGGGTCAACATGTATGGAACATGCTTTTCAGTCACAATCTGTCTACTAAATCACAAAGAGAGATGTGAAGTCTGTTTTTCTAATTATTTTATCACCCATGTAACAGGATCCTTGATAACCTCCCTCTTGTTGTTCCCATCCAAAGGCTGGATCAGGAATCTCCTCCTGTTTATCAGCTTGGTTACCATGTAGGGCTCAAAGGCCAATACAGCGGGGTATGTGCATTATTGCACTTAAGTTTCCCGGTACTTCTTAAAGTGTTGGTTTTTTCTTGTGCTTACATTTTCTGACTATATGCAGAGCAAAGAGGAAAAGTATTTTATTCACAATCATCTGTCGTTCACTGTCAAGTATCATAAAGATACACAAAGTGATTCTGCAAGGATTGTTGGATTTGAAGTGAAACCATTCAGGTCAGTAATTCAAGGGTCATATGGTTTCTATGATATGGTTGCTTCTTCCCTGATTTCATGATTATGTTACTTATTATTAATTTTTTGTTTTTAAATATTCCAGTGTTAGACATGCATATGATGGGAAGTGGAATGATGAAAAGACTCGTTTAACAACATGTGACCCCCACACAAGACACACTGTTGTTAATTCTAACACTCCTCAAGAAGTTGAAGACAAAGCTGAAATCATTTTCACATATGATGTTGAGTTTCAGGTGAGATCTTGCACATGACTATACAGCCTGCTTTTAGTTTTTTTTTTTTTTTCCCAGATAGTTAACTTACATTCTCTGTTACTATATTTAACTTCATGATAAGCAGTTGTAGTGTCATCAGTTATGGTCCCCATATGCCAGTGGTTGGTTTGGACGTGTATTCTATTGAGCACCTTGACAAACTAGCATACAGCAAGTCATTTGTTAATTTTTCCAATTGCCATTTTATTCACATGGGCAGATAACAGTGAAATATCTTGCTAACTCACCATTGAGTTTATTTTCTCATATTTTCTCTCGGTTTACCTCTCAGGAGAGTGATGTGAAGTGGGCTTCTAGGTGGGATGCCTATCTCTTGATGACTGATGACCAAATTCACTGGTTTTCAATTGTCAATTCGTTGATGATTGTCCTTTTTCTATCGGGCATGGTGGCCATGATCATGCTACGAACCCTTTACCGTGATATATCCAAGTACAACGAACTTGAGACCCAGGAAGAAGCTCAAGAAGAGACTGGATGGAAGCTTGTCCATGGAGATGTTTTCAGGCCTCCATCTAATTCAGATTTGCTTTGTGTCTATGTCGGAACCGGGGTTCAGTTTTTGGAATGATCCTTGTTACCATGATGTTTGCCATTCTTGGATTCCTTTCCCCTTCAAACAGAGGAGGTCTCATGACAGCCATGCTCTTACTTTGGGTTTTCATGGGCATTTTTGCTGGCTATGCCTCAACCCGGTTATATAAGATGTTCAAAGGATCAGAATGGAAGAAAATTGCTCTCAGGACTGCAGTCATGTTCCCAGGGGTAGTCTCTGCCATTTTCTTTGTCTTGAATGCTCTCATTTGGGGCCAGAAATCATCTGGGGCTGTGCCATTTGGGACAATGTTTGCTCTGATATTCTTATGGTTTGGAATTTCAGTCCCACTAGTGTTCGTCGGAAGCTATATTGGGTTCAAGAAGCCAGCAATTGAGGACCCTGTGAAGACAAATAAAATTCCAAGACAGATCCCAGAGCAGGCTTGGTACATGAACCCAGCCTTCTCAATTCTAATCGGAGGAATTCTTCCATTTGGAGCTGTTTTCATTGAGCTCTTCTTCATTCTCACCTCGATCTGGCTGAACCAGTTCTACTACATCTTTGGTTTCCTGTTCCTCGTTTTCGCAATCCTCATTGTCACTTGTGCCGAAATAACCATCGTGCTCTGCTACTTCCAGTTGTGCAGCGAGGACTATCTCTGGTGGTGGAGATCATACCTCACATCTGGTTCCTCAGCGCTATACCTCTTCCTCTACGCCACATTCTACTTCTTCACGAAGCTTGAGATAACCAAGCTGGTTTCAGGGGCATTGTACTTCGGATACATGCTAATCGCATCGTATGCATTTTTCGTGCTAACGGGCACAATTGGATTTTATGCATGCCTTTGGTTCACAAGGCTTATCTATTCTTCAGTGAAAATTGATTAACTCAAGCTGATGATCCTTTTCTCCTACTTCGACCGACGACGGAAACGACGGAAACAGGGTAAGATTCAAAGTTAGTAGATAATTATGTTTTCAGATGTAAACCAATTTGCACATTTTTGGATTGAGCCATGTCATGATTTTGATGTTATAGTTCTTTTATTCTACTCTTGTTTAAGAAATACTTCTTTTTAATATATAGATTGTTGACCGACCCTGTGCGGCTTCCATTTGATTTCCATCTTCTTTTAGTGTTAGCTAGTTAAAATTCAGAAAGGCATACCGTAAAAGAGGATGAAAAACTGTCTTGTTGTGACTAGGGAAAATTAGAGAAATTTTCCGGTCGATTAACTGGTTCAGGTCGAACGTGAATGATCCTAAGAATGACCTTACCAAATTTTTGGTTGTGGTAGATAAGCAACTTTGGTAATTAAGATGAAAATCAAACAAGATGAACACAGTAGAAAGTATAATTAATCAGGATTTCAAATAGAAACTACTTCCCTTGCCGTATTATAGAGCAAAAGAACAAAAATTACAGCCACTACTTCCTAGGATGAGTGTCTCTAGGATCAGCAGTACCCGTAGCCACCTTTGCGACGTCGTGGCCGCTGGCCTCAGGTTTTTCTTGGCATACAACACCACATATCCTACAGCAACAGTGATCACGAACCCAGTAACTGCCATAGTGGTGGCGCTGAAGGGTAGTTTGCGCCTCTGGTGCAAAACCTCTCCAGGGTTGTTCCCAGGTGGCCTCCTGGATCCATCAACACCTGTTCTTTTCACTTCTTCAGGACTCATCTTGTGGGTCTCTGCGTTTTTCCTCCAGCTCGCATTCCCTGCCATTTCTCTCTCAAAATGTATCTAAGAGCAAGACTTTTGAAGAGGGCTGAAGAAAACAGTTAGCAGTGTCGCCACGTTTGTTGTGACGGTTTGGTTCTTGAACACGTAGCAATCGCATGCAAGAGGGTCATAGCAATGGAGACAAGTGGAGCGGAGAAGCTCGTGTTTGAGTTTTTTAGCCGTTTGAATAAAGAATCTTTATGGACTTCAATATGGGTTGGTCTAGCTGGATGTGAAGCCCAGCCCAATTAAGTTAGAACTTGGGCTGGAGAATTGAAACCAAGAGATGGGCTTAATAATAATGATGGGTATTTTCTAATTTTTTTAAAAAAATAGAGGATCAATCGTGTCCCTATTTTTGGCATTATTATTATTATTATAAATAGGTTTATTTTCTATAGTATCATCTCGTTAGAAAAAATTAAGAGTAAAAACAGTGATAAATAAAATAAAAATAGAGAAACCACATTAAAAAAATGTAAAAAATAGAGAGGTGATGTTTCTTGCGATTGATCCTCTATAAATATTTATTTATGAATTGAGATAAAATAAATAAATAAAAATACAATATTTAAATAGAGTCAAGCATATTAATTAAAGATATTAAATTACTCATATTAATATTTTTAACAAAGACTAACTATGTCTCAAATGAATCACAGCGAATATTTTAAGAGAGCTCGTAAAATCAAATTTTATTTTGTTATTTTAACACGAGATGATACTATAGAAAATAAACCTATTTATAATCAAAGTCAAATTTTATTGGACCTCAATACCGTAATAATTAACAGACAAATGTGATTAATTTCTATTCTTTGCGCATTTAAAATTATTATTATCATTATCATTATTATTATTATTATTATTTGAAAAAATAACCAAATTTGTGAGTATTTTTGTTTTTTAAAAAAATTAGGGATTTGCGTTGAAGATTTCCACTTCTTTTGACCGTTAAAGAGTCTTATCACCTTATCGCATCTTTTCAGCAACGTACAAAACGTCCCAGTCCCACAGTCCCAGGTGCCCTACATCAATGTCCTTTTTAGTAACGGCTAGTTTTCATTTTCCGTTATAAATACAGCAAGAACGCCTTTGCCTTTGCAAATTGTAAGTTACCTTCTCTCCATAGCAATCTCTCTGTCTAGCAAAACTTGCAAATCCTCTTATCTTTTCACCCTCTTTCTTCTTCACCTTTCTGAGCTCTCGTATCCATGGCTAGCTTTCAAAGAGCTGTAGTATCTTCTTTGTTTCTAATGTCTTTGCTTTTGGGTTTATCACAAGCTAGCGAAGTGTTGGTTGGTGGCAAAACTGATTCATGGAAAATCCCATCTTCAGAACCTGATTCTCTTAATAAATGGGCTGGGAAAGCTCGTTTTCTTGTTGGCGATTCTCTTGGTAAATCTCTCAGTTTTCAATCTTAATAATGTCTTGAAATATGATCTGGGTTTCACTTACTCTAGTCTAATTTTCTGTCTAACATTACTTTTTTTTGACAGTTTGGAAGTATGATGGCCAAAAAGATTCAGTCTTGCAAGTGACTAAGGAGGCTTATGATAGCTGCAACACTACAAGCCCAATTGAGGAATACAAGGATGGAAACACCAAGGTAAAGCTTGACAGATCAGGGCCATTCTACTTCATTAGTGGAGCTGAGGGTCACTGTGAGAAGGGACAGAAATTTGTTGTGGTGGTTCTGTCTCAAAAGCATAGACAGACTGGAATTTCTCCTGCTCCTTCTCCAGTTGAGTTTGATGGTCCTGCCGTTGCCCCAACAAGCAGTGCTTCAACCTTGAAAGCTGGCTTTTTGGTGGCTCTGGGGGTTTTGGTTTCGGGATTGTTTTGATGTGAAGTTTGTTCATGGGTTGGATTTGTTCATTCATTTGATCCTAGTAATGAGAGTATTGCGTATTGCCTGACTAGAGAGATATTATTGGATGTTATGGGAGAGGGAAATTTGGATTCAATTTCCTTTCTCACTTTATTAGATTCTATTATTTTTGAGGATTGATTCATTTCTTTATATTTGGATCTTGATCTTAATGTAGTGAAGATTGCAATTTTTTAAAAGATGCCTATTTTCTTTTCTGAACTATAACGAGTCCAATCCTCACTGAATTTGGAATTTGCAATGGAGCTTTTAAAAAAAAAACTCCCTCATTACAGCAATGGGTGGTCTTGGAATTTGGAATCCCAAAACCACTCACTGAGGCAAGGATTAAATTTTCAGAGCCAAATAAACAGAATGGTACATATCCCTAATGGAGTTAAACATGAAGACCTAGACAACAGATTATTACACGAGACAAGTTGGGGTAGCTAAGAATTACATCCAGTATTGCGCTTTTTTGTTCACCATGGATGATAAGAGAACAAAAGTGTTGATGCTCTGGAAGGTCTAGTGGCACCTCTAGCATGCCCGTCATGAAACACAGTTGAAGAGAACGGATTCATTCACAAAAAAGGCCAACGGAAAAATTACAACTTGCTCGAAGCTGATGGCAAACACTGGTAGATCTTCGTCTGCGAAATACTGAGGTTGAGGGAAATAGTCAAGCAAGGGGCGATACAAGATCCAACAGTATAAGAAGTGGAAATTCATGAAGATCTAACAGTATCCATTGACTACAGGAAAGTTGAGTTCAGTAAATAAAACTGCAGGTTTTAAGGGGGAGAAAATGATAGAAACTAGCAGAATATTCAGATGCAGAACATCTTTCTGAAAATTCAATTCACGTCTATCTCTTTCAAACCATCTTAGTTGGATTTTAGATGCTTCAACCACAGCTATAAAGCTTTCTATTTATCGGCCGTACAAGCCAAATAACTGCACACATAACCAACTTGTCTATTCCTTTTCATATAAACCATATAAATTAATGTCTTGAAAGACTTCAAAATAGCATATTAGCATGTTAAGAAATAATCTCACCACTAAAATTCATGTTTTCTTCCCCTTTTATACTGTGACAGATTATGCAGCATGTTTCCATACTTGTCTACAGCTCAAATTTACAAAACTAAGCATTTGACATTGTTTGAAACAAAAGTATTTGCATTTCAACATTCTCAAATGTCCACAGGTACTTTTTTGTTAGTTAAACCAAACAAGGCTATTCAGTTACTTCAAACAAAAAGGCAACCTAAAAAGATTCACAGGAAAATCAGGAAGATCATAGAATCGAGTTCAATCAAGATACCCCACATATACAGGCACTGACAACTAGAAAGTGAACAATTTCTGTACTTCCAGAAAACAGCAAAGTAATGTAATAGAATAAGCAAGAAAAAAAAATTAAGGAAAAAGGCCTGTTATGCATAAAAATCGATCTTATGATATACCAGGATATATTAAGAAATCACTCCACAGGCAGGTCATCTTCAGATGACGAGTCAACTTTTATAAGAGGTCCCTTGAAACCATCTGTGCTGCCACCAAAAAGTTCAATTGCAGCCTTTTCAAGAAATTCTTGAGCAGCGGCTTGAACTGATTGTTTTTCAGATGTATCATATTTTCTCTTCTTGTGGGTGCTCCTCTCAGTATACTTGATCTTGGGCCCTTCTCCTTTACTGATATCCCTCAAGCTTTTCCGCTGTCCTGCAAACAGCAATATTTATTTTAAGGAAATATGAGATCACAATGGAAAGAAAAACGCCAATAACAAAAAAGCAATCAACTACCTACCGGGAGTAAGGTCAGGCAAGGAATGCTCGATGAAACGGGTTGCAGCCTGGTAATTTAAAGTAGTGGAACGCTGCGATGGTTCTTCAAGAACAAATTCAAACTCAATTAATCAATAAGAGACACGTGAAATGACTAGTATCAACCAAGCTTGTTGCAGATTAATTTTGAACATGGCAACAGCTTTCTCTCTAACTAAGCTCAGCGTAGTTTAAAAATTTAGACATGGCAAACACTTTCCATCCATGCCAAGTGTATTTGGCTAGCCCTTAACAATTACAGTTTGAGATTTGGCATTAATATGACCTGAGAGCAAGAGAAGTACCTTTACTTATATCTACGAACCGTTCTAGTTTGTCTTGATACAGGCTCAATCTTTCCTGCAAATCACAAACCACCAAATTGCATGTATTAGGTAAAACTCATCAACATTATCTTCAAATTTATAAACTTTCTGTCACCTGGATTAATAAACCAACGCATTTAAGGAGGAAAAACAAAACTCCATAAAAAGTTAACCATAAAAACCACGGATTTTAACCTCATAATTCAGAGAAATCATACAGTATCCCTATCCTAATCCAAAAGCCAAGTACAATACACAGTATCTGTCAAACTAAAACAACCCAGACGCCCAAATTAAAAAAATATAAAGAAAAATAATAGGACACAAACACATACAAGCTCTGTCTTAATAGGATGCTCGTCAGGGTGAATTCCAGAAGTTCTCAATCTCACTGAAAAAAATTCACAATATTAAATAAAAACAAATCAAGAAACCATCAAAAGTAACATCAATCAAACTAAAACAAACTAAATTATTGGTAAAAAACCGATCTTGATAGACTGGTTATACATACATGCAAAGAGAGTAGATGTAGCCTTAGCAAGCATGAAGAGAGATTGAGCCCTTTGAAGAGGTGGCATTTCCTCAAGGACATCAGGGTTAGCAAGAGCCAAGAATTCAAGCAAATGGGTCTCTACTTGTTTTAGATTTGCTAAGGTTCTTTCTACTGCTTCCATGGCAGATTCTGGTACTACTTTACTGCTGCTGCTTTCCATTTTAGCTTCTCTCAGACAACAAAGACAGCGGCTTTTCTAGCAAATATTTCTCTGCGTCTTTTTTTGGTCAGGATTTTGAAAAAAAATTTGCGGATGATGCGTTTGATTTTTTTTTTTTTTTTGGTGTCTAGGGCTTTTGGGATGGACAGAGAAAGGTTTTGCGGCAGTTAAGGTTAAAGTGACGAGTTCTGTTTGTGTTGGGTGTTTCTCTACCTTTTTCTAAGATAGTTTTTAGTTGTGTCGTTCGGACTTCTTTTAAAACACTCATTTGAAGATTTGGGGGAGTAAACTGTAACTTAGTACCCATAGTTTAACAAAATTAATTTATTAATCCTTTTGGTTTTAGAAATTATATATTGAATCCCAAAGTATAATTTTTGCCAATCGAAGTCGGAGAAAATTCCTCCAAACCTTAGATACTATAGCATTATTTTATTTTTTATTTAACAATAAGAGTATTTTCAAACTAGTTTAAATTAGATTCAAAATGTTTAGCTTTACTTTGTACGATATAAATAACCATTAACAATAAAGTTTAATAACAAAACTCAAATTTCCTTAGAAAAAATAATGTAAAAATCTAAAACTTCAGGATTAAAATTAACAAGAAAGAAACTTTTCATAACCTTAAACTCAATTGGACCTATATGCAGTCTGCCAGAAGTTAAAAAACAAAGGGAAACCTCAATTTAGCCCTTCATGCATTGCCTTCTCATCAATTAAGTCCTGAGCCTTTTGATTTTATAAATTTTACTCCAGATTAATCAATATTGCATAATATCACTCCCTCCATTTATCTATTCTTAAAGACAATTAACAATTAAAAGAATCTATCCAATTTACATGTAAATTGTATATGGTTATAGTCAACCAAAGACGTGTCAAATTTTAATTTTTACCGATAATTAGTTATAATTATTTCTTAATAGTATTAGGTTTGGATTGATAGTTAATCGCATTCGATGTTGATTTAGTCTAAAAATAACAGATTTAGTCTCGTGTGGTGTGAAAATTGACTTTAGAATACCCATTTACTAGCAAATATAAAAATTAATGTAAAAATCTAAAACTTCATGATTAAAATAAAGAAGAAAATAAATTTTTCATAACCTACTTAAATTCAATTGGAACTATATGCAGTATGCTAAAAGTTAAAAAACCAAAGTGAAACCTCAATTTAGCCCTTAATGTATTACCTTATTATCAATTAAGTCTTGAGCCTTTCTATTTTATCCACTTTACTTTAGATTAATCAATATTACATAGTATCACCCTTCCATTTATCTATTCTCTAAGAAGATTAACAATTAAAAGAATCTATCCAATTTACATATGAATTGTATGTATTCGTAGTCCATCGAAGACATATCAAAGGTTTAATTTTCACCGATAATTAGTTATAATTATTTTTTAATAATATCAAGTTTAGATCGAAAGTTAATCGTATTTTAATATTGATTTAATTTAAAAAATGATAGATTTAATCTCTCGCGATGTGAAAATTTACTTTAGAATACTTAATTACTAGTAAATATAAAAAACAAAAAAACAAAATTGTATGTGTTGATTAAATACTTCCACCTAAGAAGTCAAAATAAACTCTAATTTGTTTCAAATAACAAATTTAAGCTAAAACTTACTGGAAATTTAATATGTTTTGGCATTAAAATTGAAAAGATCACTAGTTATTTTGATACTTTGAATGGAAGCATCTAATAATTATATATAAATTGGAGTGATATTGTCCTATGACGTTTTATATTTAGGACAAAATTAATAAAAATAAAAGGTTTGACCTCAATGGACAAAAACAGTAATTTGCAACGAGAAGAAATTATTTTGGCAATTCTTTTAATCTTTAAAGGAAAAAGGAATTGGGAAATGGCAATTCTTCATTTTGGTAAACAATGGTAACTCAGTTTTCTGTATGCTCTCTGTAAAAAGGCAAATGGATGCATCACATAATCCAAAAGAATATCTAAAAGGACAGAATCAATGGCCCCAAATATCCTACTGTGCAACCGTGTTGCCTCTCTTCAACACATAAACCCCTCAAATTCAAATATCCAAACAAGCCAATCTCCACCATAGCCAATACCATCATCTAGGACCTGACCTAACTAGCCTGGTGAGTCTAAGTTTCATTTTCTTTCTCTCTCTCTCAGTATCAATTCAACAAGAAACTATCATGCAAAGCTGAACCTTTTAAAATATATATATATATATATTTCTTGAGATTGTCACTCTCATGCTCAGTTTTTTTGTCTCGTATAATTTACTTCCATGGCTGTGTTAATACTTAGCTCTTCAAGCATGTGTTGTAGTTGTATCGATTATAGCATTGCTTTTAGTGAGCAGTATAGGTTGTCTGGTTTCAGACAAAAAAATGGGTTGTTAGGAGTTGAAAAGTTTGGAACTTTGAGGTTTTTCCCATGTGGGTCTAATGTAAATTGGAAGAAAAATAGGAAAAAACAAGTGGCCTTTTGTGGGTTTGAATTGGAAAGCCAAAATGAGTTGGTGGCGGCGAATGGGAAGCCAAAAAAGGGAATATCTTCTGATGAAGTTTTGGGGGTTCTTCACTCAATTTCAGACCCAATTTATGCGCTTTTGTACTTCAAATCAGTTGCTGAGTTGCCAAATGTTGTTCACACTACTGAAACATGCAATCACATGCTTGAAGTATTGAGGGTTCATAGGAAGGTAGAGGATATGGCTTTTGTGTTTGACTTGATGCAAAAGCAAATAATTAGGAGGAATGTGAATACTTATTTGATTATATTCAAGGGTCTTTTTATCAGGGGTGGCCTTAGGCAAGCACCGGTTGCCCTTGAAAAGATGAGGGAGGCTGGGTTTGTTTTGAATGCTTATTCATATAATGGGTTGATTCATTTTCTACTTCAGTCTGGATTTTGCAAGGAGGCTTTAGAGGTATATAGAACAATGGCCTCAGAAGGTCTTAAGCCTAGTCTTAAGACTTTCTCTGCGCTTATGGTAGCATCAGGGAAGAGAAGGAATATTGAAACTGTGATGGGTTTGCTGGAGGAGATGGAGAGTATGGGGTTGAGGCCAAATATATACACCTACACCATATGCATTAGAATACTTGGGAGAGCTGGGAAAATTGATGAGGCATATAGGATTTTGAAAAGAATGGATGATGATGGATGCGGCCCTGATGTCGTCACTTACACAGTTCTCATTGATGCTCTTTGTACTGCCAAAAAGCTTGACGATGCTATGTGTTTGTTTGCAAAAATGAAATCTAGCAGTCACAAACCTGATAAGGTAACTTATGTAACCTTGCTGGACAAGTTTGGCGATTGTGGAGACTTGGACAGAGTGAAAAAAGTTTGGATTGAAATGGAAGCTGATGGTTATGCTCCTGATGTGGTTACTTTTACTATACTTGTTAATGCTTTATGCAAAGCTGGTAGTTTTGATGAAGCCTTTGATCTGTTGGATACCATGAGAAAGCAAGGGGTCTTACCAAATCTCCATACTTACAACACATTGATTTCTGGACTTTTGAGGGTAAACAGGTTAGATGATGCATTGGATCTTTTCAGTAATATGGAATCTCTGGGTGTTGAACCTACTGCTTATACGTATATCCTTTTCATTGACTACTATGGAAAGTCTGGTCAGCCTGGAAAAGCTTTTGAGACCTTTGAGAAAATGAAAGTTAGAGGAATTGCTCCTAACACTGTTGCTTGCAATGCATCTTTGTATAGCCTTGCTGAAATGGGTAGGCTTGGTGAAGCAAAAGCTATGTTTAATGAGCTTAAAAGTAGCGGGCTGGCTCCAGATTCAGTGACCTATAACATGATGATGAAGTGCTATAGTAAGGTGGGGCAAGTTGATGAAGCCATCAAGTTATTGTCAGAGATGTCGAAAGATCGATGTGAACCTGATGTAATTGTAATTAATTCTTTGATTGACACCCTTTACAAGGCTGGCCGAGTGGGAGAGGCATGGCAAATGTTTTGCAGAATGAAGGAGATGAACCTTGCTCCTACGGTTGTGACCTACAACATATTACTAGCTGGATTAGGGAAAGAGGGTCAAGTCCAAAGGGCTGTTCAGTTATTTGAGAGTATGAATGGGCATGGGTGTTCTCCGAACACAATTACCTTCAATACCCTCCTGGATTGCCTTTGCAAGAATGATGAGATTGATTTGGCCTTGAAAATGCTTTCTGAAATGACAACAATGAATTGCAGACCTGATGTTCTGACTTTCAACACAATCATTCATGGATTAATTAAACAAAACCAAATTAATAATGCAATCTGGCTCTTCCATCAGATGAAGAAATTGCTCAGACCTGATTATGTGACTTTGTGCACGCTCCTTCCCGGTGTTATAAAGAATGGGCAAATAGAGGATGCTTTCAGGATCACTGAGGACTTTGTTTATCAGGTTGGATCTTACATAGACAGGCCATTTTGGGAAGATGTTATGAGAGGCATTTTGACTGAATCTGGAACAGAAAAGGCCATTTTATTTGGTGAAAGGTTGGTATGCAGTGGGATTTGCAAGGATGACTCTGTATTGATACCTATAATTAAGGTTTTGTGTAAGCATAAGAAAGCCACTGTTGCTCGAAATGTGTTTGTGAAGTTCACGAAGGAACTGGGAGTGAAGCCAACACTCAAAGTTTACAACTTGTTGATTGATGGATTTCTAGAAGTTCATGATGCTGAAGTGGCCGGGAATCTTTTTGAGGAGATGAAGAATGCTGGCTGTGCGCCAGATACTTTCACCTACAATTCTTTACTTGATGCTCACGGGAAGTCTGGGAAGATCAATGAACTTTTTGAACTGTATGAAGAGATGCTTTCTAGGGGATGCAAGCCCAACACCATAACTTACAACATGGTCATCTCCAATCTAGTGAAATCTAATAGATTGGAAAAGGCTATGGATTTGTATTACAATCTTGTTAGTGGTGATTTCTCTCCCACTGCTTGTACCTTTGGCCCCCTTATAGATGGACTTCTGAAGTCAGGGAGATTAGAGGATGCACAGGAAATGTTTGACGGGATGGCACACTACGGATGCAAGCCTAACAGTGCAATTTACAATATTGTTGTAAATGGTCTTGGGAAATTGGGTCATGTGGATACTGCTTGTGAGTTCTTTAAAAGGATGGTAAAAGAAGGAATAAGGCCAGACTTGAAGTCTTACACCATTCTTGTTGATAGCCTGTGCATGGCAGGGAGAGTGGACGATGCTTTGCACTACTTCGTAAAACTAAAGCAGGCTGGCCTAGATCCAGACTTGGTAGCTTACAACCTCATGATTAATGGGCTTGGACGATCACACAGGACAGAAGAAGCTCTCTCTCTTTTTCATGAAATGCAGAATAGAGGGATCAAGCCTGATCTTTACACTTACAATTCCTTGATACTCAATCTTGGGATTGTTGGAATGGTAGAGGAAGCAGGGAAGATATACGAAGAACTACAATTTATAGGTCTTGAACCTAATGTGTTCACCTATAATGCTCTCATTCGTGGATACAGCCTCTCTGGAAATTCTGAACTTGCATATGGCATCTACAAGAAGATGATGGTTGGTGGTTGCAACCCCAATACTGGAACTTTTGCACAGCTTCCGAATCAATCCTGACCCTTAAAAGATGCTCGACTTTTCATTCACTCGTTTATCTGCCATCTCTCCAGTCAAGGTTTACCAGGTATTACTTCCATCTAACTAATTCATGAATACCCCGAAGCTGAACGTATGATTCTATTTCTGAAAGCCGCTCTACGATTTTAACCCTGAAACTCATTGTTGAAGTCTTAATGAATGCTTCCTTTGTACTTTTCCAACTTTGTTTTCTGCAGGGATGTTTTACCCTGATTTTTCTTGATATTTTACCGTGATTTTTCTTGATGGCTTTGCTGAAGGTTATAAGCATTTATATTTTTCCCAAGGTTCTGTGCATGCTGAGTAGCATACGTGCAAGGTTGGCCGTTCAAATATAATCTTAGTCATCCTTCGTTGTTTGGTGAAGTTTTCTTGTTGTAGAGAGATCAAGAGTATGAAGTCCATATATTCAGGTCGCAAACTCAGGTTCAATTCGAATTTCATGGCCATCCAATCTGTTCTCGATGAAAACTGTGAATATTTAACCCCTACAACAATGCATTATGTAAGATCTTCTAATGTAGTACAGAAGTGATTTTATAATGTAAATAGCATAGCATTCTTGTATCCATTTGAGCTGTTTATACTCACCATTCAGCATATATGAAATTTCAGTAAGTTATTCTGTATCTTGACATGCCAATTTTCGAATGGAAATTATGTATAGATAGGCAATCGAACATGTACTTTTATATATATATAATATGTCTTATTGGTTTATTACGAATAGATAGAAATAAGAAAATTGTGCTTGCATAAGTTAAGTAGAACAACTATAGGAGTTGAAAAGAAGAGATTACTACTTGGCAACAATGCTGAAAATAAATAAAACTATTTAGTCTATGGATGATTTAACAATGCTTGTACATTTGTGTTTGTGATTTTTGTGAAAAATATGGCTATCTTTCCATATAAAATGTTAAGCTTCTTACAAAACAATGACAGGAAAAAAGTTTAATTCGGATAGAATCCATAATCAAACGAAGATCGAAAGACTGGATCCATAATTTTTGAAACTTGGAAAGAACATTAATGCTAAAGTTAATTTTTTAGAAGGAAATTGTTCAATTTTTTGTATATAATAATCTAAATCTTTAATGTATTTTTACGTTTAAATAGTCAATTTTTCATTTCAATTAATTTTTTTTTACTATATTAAGTTTTTTAATCGAAATGTCGTCAATTATATATATATATATATATATATATATATATCATTTAGAGTCAAATGATCTATTTTTAAAAAAAAATCTTTAGATTTTTTTTTTTTTAATGTTTAAAGTGTAGAAACATACTCAAGATTACAGACTCTTTTAAAGAAATAATAAAGAAAAAAAAAAAAAAGAGTCTCAAATTTGGATGAGGGTAATTTGGTAGTTTGACTTCTTGTTAATGCCACCTCAAGCAAAACAGTAGCCATTTATCACCTGCCTTTCCTGCACTGTCTCTCTCTCCACCATACCCAGAGGAATCCTCCAAGATGACACAAACCACCCACACTCTCCCTCTCTCTAAAATGGCCCAGTTGGACCGAATTTTATATACGCCAACGCTAAAACAAAAAAGAAAAAAATGGAAACAAAGAATTGTCATCCAATCCCTGATCTCTTTCTATATCTTCATAAAAGCAAAAAAGGAAAAGATTGTATCTTTTTCCACAAATGCCCTTTTTTGAGCCCCATCTTCACAGCTCATGTTTAGCAGTTTCTTCTTTCTTTAATGGGCTTTTTTGGGTTTCTCCACATCCTAGGAGTTTCCCAGAAACCGAACACGGTTTACGTAGGCCTGTCTGTCTCCATGTTATAGTAGAAGTAGTTGTCTTGTTCTTTTTATAGTGTTTTTGTTTCTCTCTCTATATCTCTACGAGGTATCTTTTTCTGTCTGAAAACGTTTGTCTACTTACTTAAGTTGAATTGGGGTTTTGTTTTCTTTTCTTAATCACCAAGTTTTGGTGATTTTGAAGGAGAAGATGGGAAGGTTTCTTATGGGTTCTCATCAAGTTTGTGTCTTTATGTTTTTCTCTTTATAAAAAAATAATTTTTGATTTTATTTTTATAATCTCCTTATTTCGATCGGATTTGTTTCTTGTTTTGCTTCGGATTAAGAATCCTAAAGGTTTTATAAGTACTCGTCAGATTTTGCCCTTTATACGGTTTTGTTATTTTCTTTTTTTGCTTAATTGGGAAGAATTATATTGGAGATAGACAATGTCGAAGAATAATAAGAAAAGGGTTGCCGTGAGTTCTCATCAATCTCAGCTTGTTGACGAGAAAGCGATGGATACATTGAAATATCGAAACCTACTAGAGGATTTCTTGGTATTGCAAAAGGTTGGTTTTTGACTCTTTTGGTTGATTTATTTGTGTTATTTGTTATCTTTTAATTTCAGAATCTTGTTGTTCAATTATTTTTATGGATATGTGGTTTCTTGATTGTATTCCTGTTTATGTTTTTGGTGGTTTTGTTGAGGATTTCTATTTAGAAAATCATGTCTAGATTTTGATGATTGCTTCTTTTTGATGAGGAAAAGTAATAGATTTCGAACAATTTGATCTATGTTTTGGTTCTAAAAAAACTACACCCCAGTTAAGTTACATTGCCGTTTTAGCCTTCAACTGACATTAAGATGATGCATAGTGGTTATCTGATCATTACGTGGGTCAATCTATTAATGATTTCTGCTTGTTTTTGTTTAGGATTTTGTTTCAAAGAAGAGAAAATTGCGGACAGTTGAGCAGAAGAGAGATGTTCTTTTGGCTGAAGTTAGGTATGTTCTTTGTACACTTGATCTGTATGAACGGTATAGCTTCATAAAATGCTGGAGTGGTATAATTCATTCCTGGATTGACCTTTTTTGTTCCTGATTTTCAGATTCTTAAGACGGAGGCATAAATTTCTGATGAAGATGCAATCCGATAACCATCAGCTGGAACAAGGTTCTATTTCAGAGAAAGCTTCATGCATGGAAGATCTTGTTCCTAGAAAATCTTCACCCATAGGAGATCTAGATCCAGGAAAATATGCAGCTATGCAATATGAAGCGAAGGTTGTCGGGAAGCCATTGAGAGTGAATAAAAAGCCTAAGAACGGCTTAATCAACGGCAAAAGCGTAGGGAAGAAGAAAATTGTATTGCAAGATCAGGTGATTTTTAACGACTAAACATCTTGTATCTTAGTGCGAGGAGAAAGCCATTGATTGGCAGTAGTGCTAGAGAATTATTAGCATTCGTCAGGATAGTTTCTCTTTTGGTTTTTTCAAATTGTAAATTGTGAAGAGAAATTTTGATGCATCATAAGCATCAGTATAGTAAAGTCCACTCTTGACAGATTATACTTTTATCTTGGTTTTTGAGTTTCACAATTTGTGCATGTGGTGGTTCTTTCATCCATACAAGCCTTGAATGTGGAATCGGTACATGATAATATCTTCTTCTTTTTTTCAATTATCAGTCCCATAAGGTTGTGTTTCAATAGCATCTCTTCCTCTGCCTCAAATGTTAGTTGTTCGTTGTTGGCTGTCACCTCCAGCCACTGGCTGGGTTGCAATGTCTTGGATTGAACTAACCTATCAGCACTCCTAGATATAGAATTTCAGCATAGACTCGTCCCTCAATACCTCCAACAAATATGAATGGCACGAACCTGCTTACAGTAAGAATGTATGTATCAGCAGACTGTTTTCTTTGCTGTACTCATATATGATCTGGCTTTGGTATCATTGCTGCAATTCTGGGGTTTCTTTCTTAGATCAAGGATATAACCAATACCTATGTTATTTAGGATTGCAGCAAGATTGAACAACTACTTGTGTTTCTGTACGTTGACCGGAAAAACTCTTTCCAACGGGACTTTTTCCGTCGAAAAGAAGGTTCAAGTGTTCAACAGGTCTTAGGTTACATAATGAGCATAGTCCTCCCCGTATTTCAAGCTTTAACCACCAGGACTTCTTGGAACGAGACCTAATTAATTTGAAGAGAAAACTACCAAATGGCACGATGTTGACATGTAAATGATGATGATGATGATTCCTTATGTCTGTGTTAAAAGACTGATAACAATTCAACCGAGACTGGTAATGAAATAACGCCTACAGCATATCCATGGCAATGCTGCCATCTTGTGTGTCAACAACTGATAATATGACAATCCATTATCTTGAAACTAAATGTCTCCATATGCTTCAACATTTGAAGGTGGCAACAGTGAGAAGGAGATGATTGAGCCGGAAGAGAGTGGTTTGCCGCTGCTGACGAGGCAGTTATTGACTGCAATGCGCTTGAATGTATTAGGTCTGATAGGATTGCAGAGCTGAATTGCTCATAACTGAAATGGATGTAAGAAATTTGCCCCTTTGTATTTGTGTTTGTAATTTGCACCAAGAAAGTTGGCATGGCATTTGGTTGGAATTGAAGCTGGCCTTGTGCAATCACAATATCTCTATTTGAGCATTTGGACTGCCTAGCCTTTTCTGTCTCTGCACATACAGAAAATTTTGAGATTAGGGTTTTCTTGTGATCTAAGAGTAGTGAAAACGCAAATTTTTGCTTGATTACCAATGTTCAGAAGTCCGGAGGGGGTCTGCTTAACTAAATTCTGCTGATTTTGTGAACCTGAAACAAAATTACTCAATAAAGTTGGTGATTCATAAATAATTAAAAAAACTGTTCCTAGAGAGATTAGTATTCATTGATAATAATAATTAAAAAAAAAACTAATAACATAATTAAGACAATTATTATCTAGGCATTAACGCAGTAAATTCCACTAATCTAACTCTTGTTTCTTGATTTTATTTATTTATTTCTTATGTTCTTTTTTTTTTTTTATGTTCTTAAAATTTATCGTTCTTTCTTAAAAGTCAGACTTAATAAATCCCATAATTTTGAAATTTTTTGCAAAAGGGTTTTCAAGAAAAATATTTCAGTTAAAACAAAATAAAAGACAAGAGTCAAAAACCTAACCACAGACAAATCTATACTTACTTTTCTAACAGTTTGCACTCAATATTCATAGACGGTCTAGTTATGCATACACTCAAGAAAAAAAAAAAAGACTTCCATAATTGATGTCTTTGTCAAAAAGCTGTACAAGTTATTGAATCTGATAATTGTGGTTCGAACTTAAGAAGCATATAAGCACACATCTGAACATCAAACAATTTTTCTTAATATTTCATCCATCCAAGTTTAAAACATCTACAAATATGTATCTCAGGACCCCAATTTTTTAGAAAATGTAGGACCCTCGTAATGGTTTTCCATCCAGAGGCTGCGAAATAGAATCTGATACAGTCAGGCTATGGATAGTACTTCAATTAACTTTCCTCTGGTTTAGATTCAGTAGCAGCAGGTTTAGATTCAGCAGCAGCAGGTTCAGTAGCAGCAGGTTTAGATTCAATAGCAGCATGTTTAGATTCGGTAGCAGGAGGTTCAGTAGCAGGGGGTTCAGATAGTGAGGATTGCTCATCTGCGGAGGCAGTGGAGCCGATAGGTTTCTTAAACTGTACCACAATCATGGTCATATTGTCGCATCCCTCACCACTTGCTGTTGTTGGCGCCAAACACCTATCAAGGACTCTCTCACACACTGCAGAGAGCTTGTTTTCCTGCATTATCGAGGTTTCCTGTCAGACTGTTGATATGTGTAACCTAGCAAATGTAGATCGCAGATCATAATTCATGCGTAGAATTGACAACAATCAACAAGATCATTTTCTTCATTTTTTCCTCCGCGTGAAAGGGAGACCGATACCTCTCTACCCAAATAGTTCATCAAGATCTAACTTCAGAATGACAAAAATGGAGACATTAATATAACAGTAAAAACTGCATATTTCAAAACCATGCTCATTAAAAACCTTATCAGAAGAGGTCCAAAACCACATACCAAACGAAGCTGTTCGTGAATAAAATCTACTAGCTGCTGGCTTGACATGCAATCCCTGAAACAAGAAAAAAAATATCAATTATTCACTTGTAATTAATTGTTCATGAAGTTGACACTGGTAATTATACGAAATGAAAAGTTCGATTATCAGCAGATTGCCCATGCCCATCCATGGGATCCACGGATTCATGTAAAGTGAATAAAAGATCCAAAAGCAGCAGTTGCGATTCTTCTTGGATGATTTCTGAAACTTCAGGGTTGATAAGAAGTGTTATCTTCCAAGTCATGGAAGCACAATGAACAAGCCTTAATCATCGACAAACAACAATCTATACCTATAGATCACTAAACAGTGTAGACTAATTTGTGCCTCTAATTTGAAACAAACGGTGTTCACTAATTTGCAAGTTCTTGTCATGCAAATATGTGGCAACAGCTAAGGCTAAATCTCGGTTTATAGGTTCCATCGAGTTTCCTTCAATAAAAACTACCAAAGCCTACACTCATGTTTTAGGTATTGTATTTTCATCTCTAAGATCCAAGCATATTCTATTTCTTTGGGAAGAGAATCAGCACATCATGGAACAACCTACCAAGGTACTGACTACAAAAGGTACCATTAGACACATACCATATTCCGTCACATGCCAGCACAAGAAAATCATCATCATCACAAAGCTCGACCTGATGCAGGAATAGAATAAGGTCAATAGAGAGAGAAATACAAAGAATTTCAGGGATGGAAAAAAAAAAGGTAGATGGTAAAGCAATAAGAGAAAATCAAAGGTGGTATTGAAGATGCACAGTGCATAACCAACCATACTTTGGGAAGAATGATAAGCAAGGTCTATCTAGAAGAGCAATTTGTTCGAATGAAAACATTGCAGAAAGAAGAATAAGCATACAGTGTTTATATCTGGATTGGCTGTCACAATTTGCTTTTCAACAGACAAAAACTTATTCTGCTTGAACTCCACATCACCTGCATTGCAAAAGAGAGTATGAACTGGAAGCAGATACCTCTCTCGATCTTAAATGCACACACACATTAAAATGCATACCAAGTAATACGTGTGCATCAACAAATACTAACACAGACATGAATACAAAAGTAAAGATGTCAGTGGGAGTACGAGTGAGTGTGCACATGGATGGGTGGGTGGCAAAAACGCTTTTGTATGTGCAGTGCATACTCATTGCTTTTCAATAAGGAAAACAAAACAGTTTTAGCCGTGTGCTCCATGGCATCTAATAACTTCTCATGAGGAGATCCAGAGGCAGAGAGCCAGGGATTGAGTAGCCATGAGGAGATCCAGAGGCAGAGAGCCAGGGATTGAGTAGCCACACACACAGAATAAGGAACTGCGATCAGGAGTCACAGGAATGTTAGTTACCTATGGCCCTTGCAAGATTTAAACTGCCATTGACCCGGCCTGCATGTATGAAGCCACCTGCTTTTAAAATCCTTTCTTTCTCAACCTCAAGGTCAGGTTTGTGATCTCTAGACAAATTGTATGCCTGCATCAAAGAGAGCAATGTTTACTGAAAAAATTTATACAACGTTCTGTCCATATCAACCATATGCCTCTATGTCCATTATCAGGATACTCTCCCCATCACATTAATACTTGGAGAATGAGAGAATTGATTAGCCAAGGCAGAAGTAAAGGTGCAGGATATTTTAACAATCACAAAAATCCCTACCCTACAAATAACTTTTAGTCTTTAGGGACATAACCAAACAATCATTTCTAGTTAAATGAAAAATACCTGACCCTTTCTAGATATCACACAGCGAGAATCACCAGCATTTGCAACAATGAGTTGGTTGTTTCTAATAAGTGCAACACAGGCTGTGCACCCAGAAGTTGGTCCAGAGAAGTCAGAGTGAGGACCCTGATCACCATGTTAAGAGTACAATGAGTTCGTAAAATGAGTTCTCAACTATTAATAATGACACAAAGAATTGCAGAAAGATCCATTATTACAGTATGTGACGGCAAACATACTTAAAACATGATATTGGCACAGCAATTTTTAGAAAATATTTTGACCTCCGGACTCCAGCTAAGTCAGAGCAAGTAACCTAAGATCCCAATCAGGATAATTATTAAAATTGTAATGTTGCAGGAGCACACATAGTCAAGACAAAGTCGCAGCTTTTTTTCTTTTTTCCCCTGAAAATCCAAAACATCGGATAGCTAAAGAACATAAGAATAATCTAATGGTCAAATAAATTGCCTATCATCAATAGTATTTGGAGGAACACTTCAGGAGGCAATTGTCCACTCATTTTAAAACCCACTAAGCGTAATGAATCATAAATTATACTGATCCAATCATTTTGCTCAAATTCAACTTAGCTGACAAACCAAATGCATATGCACACATGCACACACAGTATGTGTTATGATAATAACCAGTAAGACGAGTACAACACTGCTGCATTTCAAGATGACAATACAGCTAAGTCAGGGAACCCCGTGTTCAAGAACTTTGGTGCTGGCAGTTGCAACCACTCACAATGCATGAGTGTAAAACTAAAATGGACTCATTAAGCACAAATAAAAGGATAAAACTAAAATGCATAAGCGTAACACTTGACTTTGAATTTCCAGATTTCACAGGAACAACCACTAGTTGGATGGGTGACCTCCATTATCCAAAGAACTAAACCTAGACACATAACTGAAACTAACATAGTTGGGGACTAGTACACAAAGGCAATAGCTGCAATGTACTTTCATTGTGTATAGCATACCTCTTCAAAAGCCCAATCATCAGGTTGTTCATTACTATCACTGCCCCTTGGAGACCATAGCAAACCTTCTATCATGCCAGTAAACTTGTTTATCTTATCGCCCAAGGCAGCTAATTCCCGCCACCCTCTCTGGCCACGCATCATCTCATCCATTCTACATGAGATACATAGAATGAAAGCATGAGTATGCACCTATTAGTATGTACAATATCCTTTTAAATAAAAAAACGGCATTTACAAAATGACCAAATATGCATGCACAAGGACAATTTCTAAGTCAAAAAATTATAATGCAAAAGAAGAAACTAACATTATAAAAATTGTGTCAAAAACACTAATAGAATATATCACTGACATGACTAGTTATAAATTACTAAATCAGCCTCAAACCAACATCAAATCATTCTAAACCACTGGCAACATTATTACATCAGCACCTTTCACCTCAAATAACCTCCAAGAGAAAGAAAGAAAAACCTCTAGTAATAAAATCAAGTAACCTGAAAAAGGCTTTCTGGACAGAAGTTCCCATATCTCCAGCTGCATATGCTTCATTCTTAAGAACCTGCTGATGGAGAAACTTGGCACAGAATTTTGCAACTACTTTACCTGCAAGTTAATCCAAGTAGGGCATAACAAGGGATGCATTTAGAACTGAAAAAACACCCATATGAAACAAGCATCATTGGAAAAAAAAAGAGGAAACTTTTTGGCAGAGAATTTTATTCCATAAGCCCCCACAGCCCATTGTTTAGTGGATACACATTTCCATTACAAATACCCAACTCCACTACGTCTCAGTTCTGAACAAGTTGAGTTTGGCAACATGGATTCTTTTCCCACCATCATTAGCAGATCGCAAACTTAAAATGAGTAATAAACAATAACTTAAGTCCAAAAAAAGAATAAGCTAAATAATACTAAGATTTCAGAATGGTCGGAGTCTAATCTTATATTTAATGGAATTGAACTTTGCTGACATTACTTTCACTTTGTTCATTCAAGGCCATAAACATAAATCAACCAAGAAAACAATGAAATCAGACATGGTGCAGATTTGGGGAAAACACATTTTAGTTAAAGCAATGATTATTTACCATATTCACATGTACCTGAAACTTCCAATTCTTACCTCCATGGCCATCATAAACACCAAAGAATGATGTGTCAGCATCCAAATTGGTTATTGCAGCATGCTGGAAACACAAATAATAATAATCATATAACTAAAAGGATATCCTTGGTGTGAAAAATAAAATATACTACACAGCACATGAAATATCATGTGTTATGAAGTTTGCTAACATGCAAAAGAAGACCACTACAACAATATTTCAGAATACAAACAGACAATGAAAACACTTTATATATGAAGTGATAAGCCCCTACTAAATGAGTTTTTATGCAATGATCAACTGTTTGTGGAATCAGTGGCAAGAAAAATAAAGAAGGTAGTAGAGGAGAACATAGGCTATGACTAGAGGAGAGAAGTATGTTTTGCATAAGACACCTTTGGAATTCAGAAACAAGTATTGTTTCACAAAACTCTCTGAATACATTTCCAAGAACTTCAAGAAAAAAATCTTCTTTTTTTTTTTTTTTTTGGTCATATATCGTTTCACTTATACAAGCAGAAGGTGTGAAAATTTGAAGAAATACATTACGTATTGTATTTGTATCCCAGTTGGAAGAATTCCTGTCTAACCAAATTTATCATTAGTTACTATCCTGCAACAAAATCTTTAAGGCATCCCCACTTATGTCATCAGTAAATCATATTTTGGATTAATCAAGGGGCAATTCAAGGATCAAGGTTGTTGGTAACAAGATTTAAAAACTTGGCATGTTCTCATAGGTCGAATGCTGGATTAACTGCTCACCGCATCTTCCATGGTTGCACGCCAACCTTGCATAGATGATAAACCATATCTAAGCCTACCATTCTCACCATCATCTGAGCATTTCTCCGTCTTAGGAGAACTGAGGTATATCCCCATCACTATCTGAAATCAAAGAGCAAAGTATTTATGAGGACGAAACTACTCCAACCAACAAAAATAGCAAACTACAACATCAACAACAAGAACCATGCACACACTTCAGCCATAGCCCTAATGTTGTCTTCAGTTACCAAGAATCTGAAAATTTAGCTTGTGATGCTTAACACTAGAAAAACCCTCAGACAATAATCAAGCCATTTTTCTCAAAGACCTTTCAAAATTAAGATGATTGCCAAACTTGTCTGATTCATCACAGTGAACCAAATCATGGATCAAGTCATTAACTTATCAAATCAAATTCAAACTACCAACATAAAAACCAATTAGTTTTCACTCAATAATGTCCCATCTTTAAGAAGAATTAAAGCCATAGGTCATATCATCATACAAAAAACTATTCATCAAGATCCGAATCAACTCAAATCAGGGACGTACAAAAATCCAAAAACTAATTTGAAATGCAATGACTGGATAACAAAAAATTCAGATCAGAGAATATAACAAAACAAAACAAAACAGAATACACATCGAAAATAGCAACACCGGAGATATGCTAAAATAAAGAAAGATACAGCATACCCAAATAGTAATTTGGACCACGGTAGTTACTAAAATGAACTTTCCATAAAAAGAAGCCTACTTAAAAAAAAAATAACAAAACCAAACAACCAAACTCATTTCTTACCTTGGGGTCAATCACATTAAAAGATATCAACAACACAACACAACAGAAAGACCCAGATAACAATTTCAGATGTTACAGCACAACAAGAAAAAGATTGACAAGAGAAATCAAGAAAGACCAAAGCTTTAAAATTAGTAGATACCTGATATAGAGAGAGAGATCAGAAGCAAAGAAACAGACGAAGAGAGAAAGGAAACAGAAATGGAATCCGAAATATCTAGAAATTAACTCCTAGAAAGACCAATCAGAAAATTCAAAGAATCTCAGAGAAAGAAAAAACACTAGAATTTGAGTGACCCCAGCAGGAATTCAAGAGTGAAAGAGACAGGCAGAAACTTGATAAGAAAGAAATAAAAAGGTGATGACTTTGTCAATGAACTTTATGATATTTTTTTGAGTTCTTGAGGGGAAAAAAGGGCCAAGCAAGCAAGTGCTGATGCGTTTACCTTTGTCTTTGATCTGATCTACGTCTAGAATTTTCTCTCTCTACAGTTATATAAAAACATTTGATTAGTTCGGCATATCAAAGACTGAACCTTTCCTTAGGTTTTTTAACTGTTTACAGTTTTGACTGTTGAGTTCGATAAGGCTTTGGTCTCATGTCGTGTCAGCAGGAAAGCAACAGAGATGAAAGGATATTATAATGTCGATAAGCTGTATTTTTATTACTTTAATTAATCTAACAACTAAAGGGATTTTATTTTGTAATATTAATTCCAGCATTCATGAATCTAGCCGAAAATGGAATTCACGAATAATTTTATAGTAAATTTCGTTTTTACATGAGATAGAAAAATATAATCTTTGACGAATCTAATCATTTATGATGTTAGGATATTATATAGGAAATGTTAATTTATTTTTCAATTACTTGGATAGCAAGGTAGATAGCCATTTGATTTAAGAAAGATTAATCAAATTTCGTTTTATTTTCAAGAAATTTTGTTAAAAGAAGTATGGTTGTAAGGATGACATAAAAAAATATTAATATAATTGATTATCAGATAAAATCAATAAATGAATTTCTTTTTTAAAAAAAATTGGTATAGTTGTATTGCTATTTTAAAAACAAATTAGAATTATAAACTCGAGATTGGATTTTTTTTTTTTTTTTGCAAATTACAGATAATATGACACCTTAAGGTTAAATTCAAATTTTTTTTTTTTGTATTCCTTCTGACTCAAAAAAAAAAAAATTGTCCATATTATTATTTATATCAGCCTTATTATGAACTCACTTGCATAAATTACATTGAATGAAATAACAAAAATATTAATATAATTGATTATCAGATAAAATCAATAAATGAATTTATTTTTAAAAAAAATTGTTATAGTTGTATTGCTATTTTAAAAACAAATTAGAATTATAAACTCGAGATTGGATTTTTTTTTTCAAATTAGAGATAATATGATACCTTAAGGTTAAATTTATTTTTATTTTTATTTTTATTTTTTTTGTATTCCTTCTGACTCAAAAAAAAAAAAATTGTCCACATTATTATTTATATCAGCCTTATTATGAACTCACTTACATAAATTACGTTGAATGAAATAACAAAAAATATTAATATAATTGATTATCAGATAAAATGGATATATGAATTTTTTAAAAAAAATTGGTATAGTTTTATTGCTATTTTGAGACTGAGTTAGAATTATAAACTCGAGATTGGATTTTTTTCAAATCAGAGATAATATAATACATTAAGGTTAAAAACAATTTTTTTATTTGTATTCCTTGTAACTCAAAAAATTGTCTATGTTATTATTTATTTATATCAGTCTTATTATGAAGTCATGTACATAAATTACGTCGACTTCATCTCTAACGTCTCATGACATACATCATTTATGAGTTAATTTGGGTTCATGACGAGTTGAGTGTTAGAGATTATTATAAATTATATTATGTGACCTCATTTATTAGTTTAAATTTTTAGGTAAGATGGTCTTTTAATATGGTATCGGAGCTTGGTTGATCAAGAGGTTCGAGTTCAAATCTCACTATCTCCAATTTCTCACGTATTAAGCACAATACAATACGGACCTATGTAAGTTTCAAGCTCAAATGTTAGATGAACATTTAATTGAGTTTATGTAATAATTTCTCATTACTTTTTTTATTACAAAAGATGAGATTTTTTTATTTTATTTTATTTTACGATTAGAGATATTTTTTAATCAATTACGTATCAATTGAATTTTTTTTTCAAATAATCTTAGAGCACACCTTTACCTTGATATAATGGATTCAAAATATAAATTTTTTTAGAAACCAATCCAAAATTGAATATCAATCAAGCAAACTTTTCTGTAGGTCCAAACAAAAACGATTTATCGATTTAATTCGACATAGGAAAAGGGCAGGAAGGTACCTATCTAGGAAATGGAAAGCTGCTGTTGTCGTGACAAACAAACACGTCTTTGTCAGAATGTAAAACTTGTTTTTGTTTTTTTTAATCCAACTTAGGGTTGGCATTTCAAAAAAGTTGAAGTTATATGAACAGTAAATAGATATTCAAATGATGTCTTTTGTGTAGCACTTAGGTTGTGTTTGGTAGGAGGTTAAAGGTTAGCCTTTTTAAAAAATTTTCCTTCCTCCAATGTCATCTCTAACACAAGCATAGGACTTTCGTCTTCTTCATTCCTATACCAAACATAACTTGGGAAAAAAAAATTGTGGACTTATGGTGATCTCAATGTTCTTTAATTTCATGCTTTAATGTTTAGAGACACGGTTTTCGAGAGATATGTTTTAATTATACAGGATAAAAAATAAAAAAATAAATTAGTTATTCGACTGGAAAAATAAAATAAATAATAATAATAATAAAAGTTTCAAACATGCTGAGGCAAACCGCATTAATTAATAAAGAGTATTTTGCTTTTTGTTTTTTTACATTCAACAATAATAGTGTTTTGTGACCAAGTTTTTATGTAGTTTGATACTAATTCCTTTTTCAACGTGATAAAAGACACTCCTCGATACATAGTTTTGCAAATTTTGAGAATAAATTCTCATAAATATTAATCATAAAACTCGAACCTTGACCTAGAGGTAATCGTTCAATTTTTTTGTTCGAGTTTTGGTTTTTTCGATTTTTGATTAATCAAATCGACTAAAACAAAAACCGAACCGAATTGAAGTTCGATTTTTTGGTTAAAAAATCAAATTTTTCGATCCATTTTTTCGATTTGAGATTAAAAACCAATTTTTTTCTTAAATTTTGAATTTTTTCTTGGACCAAGCTAAAATGCCACTTTTTTGTAATTTTTTTTTCGATTTTCAAGGAATGCTAATAGCTTGAATAGAAGTTTGAGTAAAGAAAATCATAGGAAAATAATAGTGTTTTCCGACCAAGTTTTTATATATTTTAACACTAATTCCTACTTGAATGTGGTAAAAGACACTCCTCAATGTACAATTTTGGATATTTTGAGAATAAATTCTCATGAATATTGACCATAAAAATCAAACCTTGACCTAGAGGTGATCATTCATTTTTTTTATTCAATTTTGGTTTTTTTGGTTTTCGATTAACCGAATTGATTAAAACAAAAATAAAATTGAATTGAGGTTCGATTTTTCGGTTAAAAAACCAAATTTTCCAATTCAGTTTTTTGACTTCGGATTAAAAACCAATTTTTTTCTTAAATTTTGAATTTTTTCTTGGACCAAGTTGAAATGCCACTTTTTTGTAATTTTGTTTTTCGATTTTCAAGGAATGCTAATAGCTTGAATAGAAGTTTTAGTAAAGAAAATCATAGGAAAATGCTATGATTCTTGGGTATGTGTGTTGAAAATAAGTAATTTGGTTTTTGATGAAAATCGAATTTAAAAAAAAAAAAAAGACCAAACCGAATCAAAATAATTTTGTTTTAATTTTTTTTAAAAATTTTTTTGTACAAAATCGAATCAAAATTGCTAATTCGATTCAATTTGGTTTTTTTCGATTTTAATAGAATATTGGTCATCATTACCTGGACTTACCCTACAAGACGAATTTTGTTTTTAACCTAATAAATATACTCGTACAAATTTAAACATATATATATATTCACACGGTTTTAATATTAAATTTTTATTATATTTTTATTTTATCAGGTAACAGGCATTACACCCACACCTCAAACATACTTTGCAGTTTTTATTTCAGTTTCAGGTTTTACAGTTAATTTGATAATTTTTAGAGATCATAATAATAATAATATATAGAATGAGGAATGTATGTCGGTCAAGCAGGCCTTCGTTACTATCGAGACCTACAGAGTCTTTGCCCATTACTACGTGGAAATTGAAGTCCTCAAT